AAAAAACTTTCAGCTCTAGAGCAGTTGACAATATAGTCATTGTTAAACGCTGCTAAAACTTTCAGCTCTAGAGTAGTTGACAATATAGTCATTGTTAAACGCTGCTAAAAAAACTTTCAGGCCTAGAGCAGTTGACAATATAGTCATTGTTAAACGCTGCTAAAAAACTTTCAGCTCTAGAGCAGTTGACAATATAGTCATTGTTAATCGCTGCTAAAAAACTTTCAGCTCTAGAGCAGTTGACAATATAGTCATTGTTAAACGCTGCTAACAAGCTTTCAGCTCTAGAGCAGTTGACAATATAGTCATTGTTAAACGCTGCTAACAAGCTTTCTGCTCCAGAGCAGTTGACAATATAGTTATTGTTAAACGCTGCTAACAAGCTTTCAGCTCTAGAGCAGCTGACAATATGGTCATTGTTAAACGCTGCTAAAGACTCGTCAAAATGTTGCAATTAAAGACTAACTAACTCAAGACAAAAAAGAGATTTTCAATAATAATTATCTAAGTATTCACAAATAATTTAAAAGTACGATATTTCTGTTTGTTTTATGAAACATTCCTTGTTTCCAGCCAAATTTTCTCAACCGAATAACATGTTTTAATTGTGTGTAACAACTTACCTGGACTGGCTCTTTCTTGAAGTCAAAGGCGAGCTCTTCCTCCTGCCATTCTGGATGCACGTGTTTTGTCCTGTTCCAAACCAGGACGTTGAACCTGTTACGGAGTCGGACGTAGACATTGAGAGTGCTCAATGTGGAACCCCACAAATGATAGTAAAACAGAAGACACACTCGATCAGAGGCCTGATGAAAAGTTGGAGTAATAACTCGAGCTGTATATCCTGCCTTCATCTTCCAGGTATCCAAGTGGAGGTAATATCCTTAGAAAAAAAAATCTTTATACGATTGGTCTTATTTTGTACGTTTCTTACACTTAGTTTATTTATTCCCTTGCTAGGTTTAATAGATACTTTAATGTTTAGTCCTAACAAACTCTGTAGCATATAATTGTTTAGTCCTAACAAACTCGCTAGTGTATAATCGTTTAGTCCTAACAAACTCGGTAGTGTATAATTTTTTAGTCCTAATAAACTCAGTAGTATATAATTGTTTAGTCCTAACAAACTTGGTAGCATATAATTGTTTAGTCCTAACAAACTCGGTAGCATATAATTGTTTAGTCCTAACAAACTCGGTAGTGTATAATTGTTTAGTCCTAACAAACTCGGTAGTGTATAATTGTTTAGTCCCAACAAACTCGGTAGTGTATAATTGTTTAGTCCTAATAAACTCAGTAGTATATAAGTAGAAGAAAAATATTTTTACTTGGTGTCCACTGTTGAGAAATTGACCATACACACCTGCTCTTATTTTCGCGTGGAATTGTGAAGCTACTATCGATAAAAAAGAAATACCTTAAAAACTGAAAGATTATAACTGTTTCATTACTCATGTATTGATGTGAAATGTTGTCTTCATTTGACATCAGTACAAATAGGAAGACTGTCATTTTACGACATCCAATAAACAGGTCTTTTACAGATATTTGATGACTTTGGTATCTTAACCGTACTATTTGATCGTTAAAATCTTGACCCACTTATACATTTTTTTAAAAATAATAAACAACTGGTAAGACATAATACAAAGTATTTTATTCTATGTATTATTATAAGACAATAACATTTTTTATAAATAGTTTATATATATATACATATACAAACAACCTTTATTAGAAACAACATTTACACAGCGTGGTCACAAATAAATAAACGCCACCTTTTCAGAAAAAAATTAATTTTTCAGTCATATTCACATGAATTGATATATTTATAATTTAATTAATATCTAGTAGATCTTCCTTTCGCTTCGTGGAGTTCGTTGATCCTTTGGGACATCGTGAGAATAATCTCGTCAATTTTAGATTGTGGGATTTTCGCCCACCCTTGCTACAAAACTTGGAGTAGATCGCTCTTCGAAGTTGGTTTTTTGGTTGTTTCTTGACTGGCCGGTCGAGTATCGCCCAGAGGTTTTCGATAGGGTTCATGTCAGGAGATTGGCTCGGCCAGGGCAACTTCTGGATACCATTTTCTTCCTGCCACCTTTGGGTGTTTCTAGCAGTGTGACACGGTGCTCCATCTTCCTGGAGCAACGTTGTGTTCTTGTCCACGAAACCCGAGGAATAATGTGGCAAGAGTCCTTCCTCCAATATTTTGACGTATTTCGCAAAATTTATGCTGCAAACGCACTCCACTAAGCTCGATCTTCCACCAACCCAAACAGCTCCCCAAACCATCACGCTGAAACCACCATGCTTCACAGTTGGCTGCAATCTGTTGAGCCAAAACTCTTGGTGAGGCATTCTCCAGACCCATATCCTTCCACTGTCCGAAAATTGAGCGAATCTTGATTCAGTCTGAGAACAATACGGTCTTCCAAAAGTCCAGAAGATCGGTCATCATATCATTTGCCCATTTCTTTCGTCTGACTATGTTGGCAGGTCTTAATAAGGGCTTCCGTCTAGCTGCTCTGTTAATCTGGGATCCATTTCGATGCTCCTCTTGACAGCCCTTTTTGTCCTCTTTGATGGACCAGGACGACCCGAACGCTGCTCAGTTGTTCCTTGCCGTGTTTCCTGAACTGCTACAATAATTCTGTTGACTGTCG